GATCAAGACTTTGGTTTGCGAGCTGGGCCCCAGTTGCTTGTGCCTGTAATCCTAATTACCTAGGAGATCGAGATCTGAGGAGTACTCATCAAAGCCAGCCCAGGTTGAAAAAACTCTCCTCTCCAGCTAACTACAAAAAGGCTGGAAGTGAAATTGTGGCTCAAGTGGTAGAGCACCAGCCTTGAAAGGATAAGGCAAGGGACAGTGCCAGGCCATGAGTATTGAGGGGGAAAAAGGAAGGAAGGAAGAGAGAGGGAAAGAAAGAGAAAGAGAAAAAATAAAGACAGACAGATAGAAAGACAGAAAGAAAGAAAGACAGAAAAAGAAAGAGAGAAAGAAAGAAAGAAGGAAGGAAGGAAGGAAGGAAGGAAGGAAAGAAGGAAAGAAAAGAATATCTTATCTTTCAGTGCTTTCCTTTGTTTCCCCAGGAGACGTTCCACGGGGGTTATTTGGAAAACCTGCCTGTCACTCACCAGGCATTTTTCCTTTGGAACCCACTCTGTCGTCTTCCCATGAAGCTCCCTCTGTACAGAGGCTGAGCCCCCAGGAGAGGGTCAGGAACAGGGCACATAGTATTCACAAGAAGACGAGAGCTATGCAAGAGGAGAAAATGGAGACTTCCTTTCCTTATTGGCAGAAATGAAGTCACATCTACACTTTGCACCCACTTTAGCTTCCAGAGCATTCTTTTCTTTGTGTTGAAATCAATGAAATACAGAGAATAAACTGTCTGGAGGAGGCTGGGGATGGGAGATGAGGCCACCTGGGCTGAGTCTTTGAGGGTGAAGAGGCTTTCAAACCCTCGGGGCCTCCTGGAACTGGAGAGAATGACTTTCCTGAGAGAGAGATCCCAGCCCTGCTGATGAATGCACTCCTGCTCTGCCTCCCTGAGGAACCTGGGAATGCTCACACTGCACTTGTGCCTTGTCCCTCTTGGTCCACATATAAAGTCATGGTTAGCTAAGGATCAGAGTCACAGGAATTTACCCAAGGCCACACGGTTAGCTAAGGATCAGAGTCACAGGAATTTACCCAAGGCCACACAGCAAGTAAGTGGGCATATTGATACTCAAGTTTACTTCATAATCTCCCTCAGTCTCTATTATTCCTTCAGTGCAGATTTCTTCTTCTCTCTCTCTCTCTCTCTCTCTCTCGTTGGTCTTGGGGCTTGGACTCTGCACCTGGGTGCTGTTCTTGAGCTCTTTAGCTCAAGGCTAACACTCTACCACTTTCAGTACCACTTCCAGTTTTCTGGTGGTAATTGGAGATAAGAGTCTCACTGACTTTCTTGCCTGGCTGGCTTTGAACTGTGAGCTGCAGATCTCAGCCTCTCAGTAGGTCGGATCACAGGTGTGAGCCACCAGCACCCAGCTGAAGTTTCTTTTTGTTCTTCCTTTTCTTCAAAGTTTTAGATAGAGCAATGATCACCCATAATTGCTTGATTTACTGACACTGCATTTTTTTTCAGCCCCATAGAACATTCTGCTCAGGGCTTAGTTACTGATTCAGCAGCTGATGCTGCTTTTTGCCCTAAGGAGCTGGCTTAGAGATTACCTTCTTTCAGTCACGGAAAGAGAGACTCTGGTGTTCCACTGGTTTTTCTTGCTGCTAAAATAAAACCAGGCTAATCCCTCCAGCAGTCAGCATAACAGGTGGGGCTGCCCTCCAGCACTGGTCAGAGGTGTGAAGAGGTCATTTTTTTAATGCACTCAGTTTTCCCTCCTGGCTACTTTTTCTCAGGCCTGCTCCAACTGAACTGATCTTATTACCCTGTACTTGATCTGAGGGAGCCTCTCCAAGGTCATTGCTTTTCTTGGTGATTCTCCCACTGAACTTGGCCTTCAGAGTCAGCTAGGCTTTTGCTTTTAAAGAGCAACATGCGTTAATGTAGACAAAAAGATAGCATATGCATTGCAGACAAACAGTATTCTGTGGAGGTACTAAAGTCTCTAATTGGTGCAGTACAAACACTCCTCAAAACCTACATTTAGAATAGATCTTTAAAAAAGCCTGACCTGGCCTGGAGTTTTAGCCCTGTTGCATGCAATAGAAATGACCACGAGGGGTTGAGGATTTAGCTCAATGGAAGAGCATTTGCCTAGTAAATACAGGGCCCTGAGTCTTCAGCACCACAAAAAGAAAAGGAAAGAAAAAAACAAAAACAAAAAGACCATGACGGTGACTATATAATAATGAGCAGACCAGCTCTAGGAAAAGAATGCTGAAACCAAGCCCTGGTCCTAGTCTAGGAGACAGCCAGGGGTTTTCTCTCTCCTCCCTCAGCACCTCCTTTTAAGGTTCAGAGTCATTTACAAGGAAATGTGGACAGAGCCACAGGTGAAGAGACAGAGAAAGTATATTCTTTTTAGTAAATAGAAAAGGTCCTGACTCAGAAGTTGAAAAGAAGCAGCAGCTAACAAAGCAGTTAAGCTTCCCTCCATTTAATTGCTAAGTTACAAGGCAGAGGTGCCCTGGAGACTTAGAGAGTTTAGGATCTAAAATCCACCTGTCCTTTGTAATGGTAAAAATTAGAGACCTGAAGATGGGGGAACTTGGAAAGGAAGCCCTCAAACTCATCTCATCTATTGTCCTTGTGTTTGGGTTAGGCCCAAAGACATCTATATCTCAGAATAAGTAACACCCATCTTAGCTACCCAGAACCTTTGCCTAAAGGTTGGAAGGCACTAGGGGACTGTGTGTGGGCTCCCCTAGCTCAGAAAGCATAATGGCAGCAGATAACAGCTGCTGATTTTTGCCTTCAACTCCCATTTCCTTCACGGGGAACAGGAAATATCTCCACTTTCTCTACTTAAATAAATCTTACTCTTGAATCACCTAGCCATTTCCTTGCTTTACCACTTTAAGTGTGTGTGTGTGTGTGTGTGTGTGTGTGTTCATTCAATTGCTGGCCACACTAAGGATTTAGGCTCTTCACCTCTCCATCCTCCACTGATGGCAACAGCACAGGAACCCAGCAGTGTGGATGACACAAAGTGAATGAGATAGCCCACAGGATGTGTAGCTGGCCACCTTCGGACAACTCAGGGTGGGTTCTACACGGCTTTCACATTTCTCCGCAAACATGCTTCCAGATGGTTAATGCATCATTCGATTTAGTCAGTCCAGGTCGCAGGGCCATTTTGGCAACTTATTTGTCCACCCTTCCTTAGTGGGTCCTTTGTGGATTAGACACCACTGAATGTGTTGAGAGCAGTAGGTCAAGTCCGCTCACAGTTACGCAGATTTGACAATTTCTTTTAGTTGTTACATTAACACAAGCATTTAATGGATGACCTCCAGAAGGCCTATAGGAGTCAATAAACATTGTAAGAATGAATAATAGAAGATCAGACATAACCTTGGAGGTGTTTCAGAATAACACACACACACAAAATATTTCATATTTTTCCTATTTTGGTGTTTTTAAAATCAAGAAAAAGTTCAAATTTCCAAAGTACATGTTGGAGCATTATACAAATATTGGAGAAAATGCTAATTTTTGAAAAGAGAAGGCCTGATCCATCTTTAAAAAATGAATGACCAGGAAAGAAGAGATGAGAAGTGACTTCAATTTCAATAGCAAATACACAAGTGTACACATATTTGCATGATGATCCTTTAATGACATCATGCTGATTCTCTGATGTCATACTTCAGGCAACCAAGCATCCTGGTCAGAACAGGGTTCTACTCCCTCAGGGCAGGGTTGCCAGAGAGCATGAGAAGGTCTCTGGGATGCTGAGCTTTGCCACCCCTTATTGGGGAAAAGAATGAGAGTCAGGGGCAAGAAGAGGTAACACTAGGTTAGCATTTTGTAACCAGCGAGACAGGGAACACATGTGTCTATCCTGAGTTATGAACAGTTCTGAGAGAAAGGCCTGGGCCTCTTGGTAGATGATGCTCCATCATGGAGAACCTCCAGTAATAACCATGGTAAGAACGTTTATTTCTCTTCCAAAGGTAGCATGTGAATAGCATGGAACAGTGTGGTTGGAGCTGAGTAGGCACTGTTCCGTTGTGGGATTTGCCCTGGGAGCCTGAGTCCTTCAGCGAAGGCCGGTGTACTGGATGCTGGCGTTTCCAGTCCCTTAGCACTGTCATTCATTTTTCTTGTTTCTCTTATTGACACAAGTCTCCCTCTCCCACCATTTCCCCTTTTATCCTGGAACCGAGCACACATCTACAGAGTAACAGGGCCTTTCCAAGAATTTAGGGTCGGTTCACAGCAGTGAGATGGAGACACTAAGAAATAGGTGAGCCCCCTGGCCTTGGTCTTACTTTGGGTTATTGTTCAGAGGAGTGTGTGACAAAGCCAAATCGGGAGTCTAATGACTCTCCCATCCCTCCCCGGGGAACCATTCGATCTTCCTTCTAAGGAGGCCATGAGGTTGGTGCTACTAGAGCATCTGTTCCAGCTGACTATGGATCTGGGTCTTCTCTGCAGCTTCCACCATACTTTGAGACATCGCTCCTCCTGGGACCTTGGAGACATGAGGCGATGACTTGGTGGCTCAGAGGTGTGAAGGTGGCCACACCAATGTTTCTGGGTGGAAAATCCGGGTGGTGGCTGGCCATGTTGGGCAGGATGACAGCTGAGGGCAAGAGCGTGGCGGGCAAAACTCTGCCACATCTCGGGTGAGGGTGGAGGTGCCCCATGTCTCAGCTGTAAATAGAAATGGAGAGTTTCCAACTTTTTGAGGGTTTGCCTGTCCCCATGGTTTCCATTCTGCTCTTCGGGAGGTTTGGATGGCTCAGAGCAGCTCTCCTTCCTATGCGCACGTAGGTGGAGTCCGCTCCACAGGCGGGAGGGGTGCATTGGCAGTGCCATGTCACCTGCAGTCACTGTGTTTTTATTTTCATTCAATACTGGGATTTGTACTTAGGCCTTTTGCTTGCTAGGCAAGTGCTCTACCACTTCAGCCATACTTGCAGCTCATGAATTTTTTCAGGGAACAGCACCAAGATGGATGACTCCCTCTCGCCTTGTTATGCTTGAATGCTCAGAACACAGGGATCTGGTCTCTGCGAACCACATCCAGGTCGTCATCCAGAGTCAACAAAACCTAAAGGGAGAGGAACAGAGACCAGAAAGGAATGCACAAGGCCAAACGAAGTCCTGGCTTTTCTGCTTTATATCTTAGGCAGTAATCTGCAGCCCCTTGCTTTTCACTGGCACTGAATATAGTTATGTAGTTCATTTGTCCCTTAAATGCTCTTGTGAGTTTATTATGTGCTGTTCTCTGTCTCTCTCTCTCTCTAAATTGAACTAAGGTCCTTGCGTTCTCATTTAGCTTTTTTGCTCAAAGTTGGCACTCTGCCACTTGAGCCACACCTCTTACTTCTGGCTTTTTTTTTTTTTTGCTGTTTAACTGGAGATATGAGTCTCTCATGGAATTCTCTGCCCAGGCTGGTTTCAAATTGTGATCCTAAGAGCTCAGCCTCTTGAGTAAGCTAGGACTACAGGTATGTGCTACCAACACCTGGCAATTTGCTGTTATAGATGCTGGAGTTACAGCTTAGAGTGGAAGAGGCAAACATCCCTAGGGAGCTCACATTCCAGAGAGGGTTTAGACACAAAAGGAACTCATAAGTTAACAATAGTTTTGGAGGTTGTAATACAAGTTGAGGATTAGACTTAAACTAGGGAAGGGACATAGGAAATATGGGGTGGGGTGGTAGAGACTTGGATAGTGTCATTCATTGGAAAGATATTTAAGACCTAAAGGAAATAAAGTATTGTTGCATAAAGTAATGCTGTATAAGATATGAACCTTTGTCTTCCATCTTTCATTCCATCATCATGAGGATCTCTTAGCTCCACACGGGCTTCATCACAAAGAAAAGCCCTAAAGAAATGTTTGTAGAGATTGGTTAAACTTCCCACACTGGCCACAAGGGGACAGGCCAGCTCTACTCTTACAAGGACTATGATGGCAGCCCAGGAGCCTGGTGCTGGTGGTGTCAATCAGACTCCTGTATGGGCACCATGGACTTTAAACTTGGAAATGTCAAGTAGGATTAGAAGGTTCTGAGAGCTATTATCTTAGATTGACAAACACATGCTGGCTTCTGGGAAAAGGGTGGAGCAAAATACAAAGAAGACTACAGGAGAGATTTGGAACAGACTGGTTAGAAAAGGAGTCTCTCTAGGAATCTGTGAAATATTCATATTCAGTGAGCCTGGAGGAAGGGAAGGACAGTAAGTCCACTATAAGAAGAAGTAACCCAAGATTATGGAAATTTTTAGTGGGAATTCTGGGCAAATGAGGCTAATAACCAATTCAGTCCCAATGTGGTGGTATGCAACGTAGGGAAAATAACTTTCTGTCAAAAAATATTAACACATAGGTCAGGTACAAGTGTGCTCATTCCCAGCTACTCAGGAGGATGAGATCTGAAAACAGAGGTTTGAAGCCAGCCCAGGCACACAACTCCATCGGGTTCTTAAATCCAATTAAGCAGCAAAAGTCCAGATGAAGATATAGCTCAAGTGGTAGAGAGCCAGTCTTGAGTAAAACAGCTAATCAAGAGTGTGAGGCTTTGAGTTCAAGTGCCAGTACCAACACACACACACACACACACACACACACACACACACACACACACCAGAAGTAAAAGGAAATTGAAAATTAAGATCTCACCAAAGGCTACAACACTAGCAAAAAAAAGTCTTTATGTTGAATGACAATGAAGAACTGGAAAAATAAGTTAAGACTATAAAAGAGGGTATAAGGAAGGGCAGAAAACAAAAAGGTAAAGAGAAAAGAAAGCAACAAAAAGATATGATAATCCTATCTCACCAAAAATGAGAAAAACAGGGCAGTGGCGGAGAGGAAGTGCCAGATGTCGTGGTCATCGAAGAAGTCCAGCAGGATGCACTCGCGATTCTTCTCCCGAGACTCAGCTGGGGTTCCCTGAGGAAGGGGAGGCAGGATGTGGGCAAGGGTCTCACCATCCAGTGTTTCATGCTTTGACATCTAGGAAGCTAAACATGCTCTTAGATGTCTCAAAAAATTAGAGTCCAAGAAAACCTACCTACATGTGAACTTGTACACAACTATTCACAACAACATCGTGTATCACAGCCCAAAGTAGAAACAATCCAAATGTCTTCTGGCTCATGGATGCACAGACAATATGGTGTAGATTCCCACAAGGGAGTTTTGTGTGTGTGTGTGTGTGTGTGTGTGTGTGTGTGTGTGTGTGCCAGTACTGGGGCTTGAATTCAGGGTCTTAGTTTTGTCTCTTTTCCCATTCAACACTGGTGCTCTACCACTTCAACCATACCTCCACTACTTCTGGCTTTTTGATGGGTAATTGGAGATAAGAGTCTCATGACTTTCTCAGTTCTCAGCCTTCTGATTGGCTAGAATTACAGTTGTGAGCTCTCAGTCACAGTGGAATATGAATCCGTGATAATAGGGCATGAGGGACTGACCTCATTGAGCAACATGGAGAAGTCTGACCCAAAGTACACAGGTTTGTGACCCCATTTACATAAAAAAGTCCAGAATTAGCAAATGTACATAGACAAAGGTAAGCAGTTGACAATTGCCATCGGATTAGGGAGAAACAGGGAATGGCTTCTCACAATGATCAGTTTTCCTTCTGGGGTGATGAAAATGTCCTATAATTAACTATGGTGATTGTTAGGATGGAAAGCTGAGACTTCCTGTCCTGTGCCTCAGATTGAGCACTGACTTGGGAGGCCTCCGCTTTCCTGTCTGTAAAATGGATGTAGTAACGCCACACACTGTATTTGCTGATGGATGGTGGCAATGGGAAAGATGGAGAAGATGCGTGGTAATTATCTATTGGGAATAGGAGTCATGAGAGAATTTGCAAGTGTCTATTGAGACTTACATCCCTTCAGAAGGAATCTGGCTATTTAGAGAAGGTAGAAGGAAGGAAGAAAGCGAAGGCAGAAAGGTCAAAAAGGCTATTTGCTTACCTCCCAGCTGCTCAGATTCTGGAAGAAGAAATACAGGGCAGCAGCCCACACCACCGCAGTGGCCACGATGCAGAAGAGTGGCACAGGAAGAACCTTCTCAGAGCTGCGAAGCTGTGGGGAGGAGATGCAGGGGTGGGGAAGATGGAGCCATTACCACCCTCCAGGCCAGGGCGCTCCCAGCTCCCAGCCTCCCCTACCTTCATGATGATGTAGAAGGCCAGGTACAGCAGCAGGTTGCAGATGAAGATACCCAGCATGTAGGATGCAAAGTCCCTGGGCCGGTAGATCAGTCCAAAGAGAGCACTGAGGACATAGGAGGAGGGAAGGAGATTGTAGGAGAGAGAAGATGGATTTGTAACAAGGTTGGATTTTTCACTGCTTTTAAAAAGCAGTTTTAGAAGCCCACTTCCAAGTCCAGTGTAGTGGTTCCAGGCCAGTCTAAGCAATAACAAACTGGGTGTGGAGGTGTATGCCTGTTACTTCAGCTATCCGGGAAGTATAAATAGGGGGTTATAGCCTAGGCCAGTCTGGGCATACAGGTAAGACTTTATTAGAAAAATAACACAAATTAAAAGGACTCTGTGTGTGTGTGTGTGTGTGTGTGTGTGTGTGTGTGTGTGTGCGTCAAGTGGCAGAGTATTTGCCTAACAAGCATAAGATCCCAAGTTCAAACTCCAGTACTGCCTCAAATCCCCACTTTAACCTATAGTCACCTAGGTTAAGGACATGAACATGTTCTGAGAGATGCATCAATGAATGATTGTGGCATTGTCCAAATATCACAGGGAGTACTTAACACCAACCTGGGTGCTTACTGAGGCACTAGGTGATATCATTTTATGGGGTCACTGTTGTGAAGATGGTCCTTTTTGATGGAAATATCACTAAACATGGCTGTATAATTAGTTTTCAATTTGTTATTGTTTTTGGAATATTTATTTTTCATGGTAATGCCAAGTGGACATATTTTGTGCAGTCCTTTTCTACTTGAAATAAGGCTTTCCAGCCTCCCGAACTCTTTTGTGATTACAAGCAACACTGATGAATAAATGAATACCTCAGACATATCATATTTACTTTTTAAATATAAGATCAGTTCCATAGAGGGGATTACCACAAGTAGAATGATCTCAAGAACTGGCTAAAAACAATACAAAAGTGTGCTAACTGTCCATTTGTAAATGGATACTGGTTTACTTTGGTTGAGGTTTGGGTTCAATTTTGATTCAATTTTCTATTTTGCATTATAGTAGAATACTTTATTACTCTTCTTCATCTCCTATCTGATATTGTTTTAATAAATACACATTGACACACAAACTTTAGAAAATCTTTATCTTGACCCTAAAAACACAGTAAACGAAAGCAACAAGTGGATAAATGGGTTACATCAAACTGAAAACCTTCTTCGTGGCACAGGAACAGTCAATAGAGTGAAAAGAGAGACTACAGAACAGGAGAAAAGATTTGTCACATACATAGCTGACAAAGGATTGGTGTTTAGAACATATAAAGCACTCAGAAAGACTTCACAAGACAAGTAATCCAATTTAAAAATGGGCAAATGACCATGTCTTAATTAATGACTATGTCTAAAAAATGACTATGTCTAATTAATCAGCAAAATGCTGGTCTGGAGGGTTGGCTCAAGTGATAGAGCACTAGCTCTATCTAGTGAAAAAATTTAGTTAAGACAGTTCTCAAAAGGGCTATAAGTGACCAATAAATCACTGGCTATCAGGAATATGCAAATCAAAACCACAACCGCATTCTATCTCACTTAGTTTAGAAGGGCTATTACCAACACACACACACACACACACACACACACACACACACACACA